GGTGGTCAATTTCTCTTGTTCGAATAGATCTGAGAAGTGATCAAAAAGAGAAAAAATTGAAATTTAGAAAAAAAAATTGGGGCTTTTTGTAAGTTCTAGGTACTGAAGAGGAGATTAGTAAAGGAACAATGAGAACACGAATAGCTAGAGTTCGAGTTTTCTTGTAAAATTGGTTAGGATAGAGGACCATAATAGGTTGATTAGAAGTATGTTAAGTTTTTGATGATATTTTAGTTCAATGGTTGTTATTTTTTTTTTAGAAAAAAATCATTTATTAGCATTAGTTGAATGTCAATGAGTGATTTTTTGATGTACATATGCATCTAATGTACACACACATATATAGAGTGGCACGCACGGCACACCCATAGGGAGTTTTACTTCGGTAAGTACTGGTCCACAAAAAAAACTGATCTAGTGTCTTTAAATAAGAATAGTCCCACAAACAAGCAAGATACAAGATCTAACTGGGCTAAAAAGAGAGAGCAATTAAAACAATTAACAATGACAGAAAAGAATAAAGATGGAATATAATCAAATAACACATGGACGCAAGAAAGTACAAAATTAAATCAGACCTGTCTAGCAACAGCTGATGGAAAGATCACGAGGATTATCTTTAGAATAATGCTGGGAGTACAGGATGATTATTATAAGCAAATTACAGGATTTTAAATTTGCCTTACATGGCAGTTTTCCAAAAAAAAAAAAAAAACATAATTGACCGGCTGACTTCAAGGAAGCAGAAAGCGAGGGAAATCATTTCTTTCTCCCACAATTTCACACCACCATTTTCAGCCATTCAGCCCCATTTTCAGCCACCTCATTCACCTCCATTTTCAGCCACCTACATTTTCAGTCGTTCGCCTCCATTTTTTTCAGCCGTCAGCCTCCATTTTTTTCGGCCGTCCACCTCCATTTTAGCCGTTCACCTCCATTTTTATCAACCGTTCACCTCGTATTCAGCCGTTGTCGTTCTTGTTTATGGCAAAGATTGTGGTTCTGTAAAAGAATGGCATTGTTTATGGCATTGTTGGTGAACTCTTCGACAGTTATTGTTTTGATGCCATCTTCATTCTTACAGCATTTGCACCTTCTGTGGTTTTTGCCAACAGATCCAAAACCCCACTTACAGGTTGGATCTTTAATCCTGCTAAGCATTTGCTATGTATTATAAATGAAAAGGTGATACCCAAGAGAACTGCAACATTGTGTGGTAAATAGACATATGAACATAAGGGATAGATGAACAAAACTGAAAATCGAACTCCTAATTGAACAAAATTGAACAAAACTAAACTCATAATTGACAACATTACACACCTCATTCCCATATTCATTCAAATTTGGATCCAACATAACCGAACTCAAACATGAACAAAACAGAAACAATAAAGTGCATTCAAGCTAAACAAGTTTTTAATGTCAAAATAAAACCTCCCGTTTACTACTTCGGTCTACAAAGTTTACAAGCAATATCAACGGAACTCCTTTGGATTTAGACTCGTCATATTTGGCTCCTACAAACTGGCTTAGTATCTAGGATTCTACGAATGCTCCTCAGACTTCAGCACTAATAACTTGAAGCTATCACGAAGCTTTGCAGATTAACGTTGATAAATTTTTTAGAGAATCTTCAAGAGGTGACTGTAAAACATCTTCAAGATACTTCTCAGCAGCAACATACAGCCTTTTCTTGTCCTCAATTTCCAATGCAGCCAAAGCTTTATCCTGTACAAATTGAGAAAGCTTTATACTGTACAAATTGAGACCCAAAATCAATTTCTCTCGAAGAGAACTGAAAAGGAGCAAAAATGGCATATTGTTAGCAAGAAATGGGCACTACGGGAGGCAAATCTTGGTAGCTTCTCCGGGTGTCAAGAATCGGTTTTGTTTTCTTTTCCAGATCCTTCCTATGCTCTGCCATTTCTACCAAAACCAGCATCATCACATGTCTTTATTGATTCCGAGGATGTTATTGAAGTCGTATTAGGAGTATCAGTTCTCGCCACAATTTCGATATCAACAGAATGCTACGGTCGGATATATCGCCGTCACCGTCCAGTCGCCGGTGATCCAATTCCCACTAGAGAGTTGAGGCGAGAAGGAGTACGAAGATTTTGAGAAGTCTCCATTTCACGGGTTCTCCTCTTTTCATTCTCTTTTTTCCTTTTATTTCAATATCCTTTTTTTTTTGGGTTTTTCAGTGCCACATCAGGCAATTTTAAAATCCTGTAATTTGCCTGTAAAGTCACTCATGTACTCGTAGCACTACCCTTATCTTTTAGGCAAGAGAGGACCGCCAAGTACTCCATCAATATGAGTACAAGATTATTCCTTTTTTGTTTCTGAACAACTCCAAGCCAATATAAACCTATTTATTCAACTTAGTACAGTAGTCTGTGTCAAAAATGAGAATGAATTTTTTGACCGTTGTCTGTGTTAGCGGTCCCAGGGTGCAGCAGCTTCTGAAATGCCAGGAAGTTGTTTACAAAATTGCCCTAACTTCCTTAAGAAAGAATTTTATTTGAAAGGGCAACTTGGTAATCTAACCGAATTTTATTTTCAAAATTGTGGCTGCCTTCTGACACTTCACTGTATAACAGTCACAATTTTTATTTTTTTCAGACTGAAACAGAGGCTTATATTTGGAATACCTCTCTTGTTTTTTAGTTGAGGGTAAAATAGCAATTCAAAGTCAACATCATTTACATTTACAATTAATCCAGAGGCTTGCGTCTTCATTTCGCCTTCAAAAAAATAGGGTTTACTATTCTTCTTCCTTAGCCGCCACTTACTGTTCTTCCTCAGCCCCCGACTCAAATTGCAGCATCAATAGTTCTTCCTCAAACTGGCTCATGAGGTTGTTACTTGAACAGATCTTCCACTAAACTACAGCTTTCGGCGACGTGTCGGAGTTGTACCGGTGTCCGATACATATTGGACACCGATACGCTAACGCCGACAACGCGTCAATGCTTCCCAGCTGCTGGGAAAAGATGATTTTGTGCCTTATGCTCCACCAATCAATGGAAAAGACACAATTTTCACTAAATCTCACTCGCACAAATTATTTCTTCTATTAGATACTCCTTTGCAATGGCTTGAAATAATATCCTCCCATATAATTCCGAGAAAATGATGATGCTCTCGTTAAGACATATTTTCACTTACAAAAGTACACGGGATCCAAGTAAGCCTCCAAGATACATTAGAATTGAATGAATTGATTATAAGTATTTATGCACTCACGACAAGAAGCCCGAATGCCAAAAACTTGATAAACCAATACAAGAGGCTTTATATTCTATTTCTGAATTATGAAAGAATATAAAGCTTGAATTTATATGATAAAGAATAATGAAAAGTATGAAAGAAAATTCGAGGTGAAAGAGGAGACCATAAAGTAAATTTCTATTATTTTTCACTTGTATAGTCAAAGAAAAACTTGGATCCATTTACAAATTCTTGTTAAACCATTTGCCAAATGTTATAACCATTTATAGGGGTCTTTTAGATTGGAATTAGATTAAAAAAAAAAAAATACCAAACAAACTGATGAAATTTGAATTACAGCCATGAAATAAATGCAAACACGTGCATTTAAAGAATGGCACACACAACGCACGCACAAGGAAATTTTAATTAAAAAGGGATTAGTCAGGGAAAAGCTGAATATCAACCTTCTCCTCTATTGGAATATCAACGCACGCACTCACGACCTTCTCCTCTATTGGAATTTCGGAAGTTATGACCAGACCCCCTCAGTAATGCTACCGAATTGGAGCAAATAGTTTTACATTTTGAATCAGTAGTAATACAGTAAAACTAGTAATTGGCAATCCTTCTATATTTGGAACATCTTTCTATGGTTCTAGCGCCATAAAAATATGGCATGCATCCTCGATTGCTTTTTTCTGTGGCTGAAAGCCAATCTCAAGTGTTATTCAACTTCGTAAATTCACCTTGATTCGTAAATTTCATTGAAAGTGTCTTATTCGGTCCCTAAATCCCAGACAACTGACAAAAGTGCTAAGCTGCCTTTGGAATTATCTATAAGCCTTCAGTTTCTGGTTTACTCAGCCTCATCTTTAGAATCTTAATATCTTCCCTGTAGAGAATGTCAGTGCAAATATGGCAAGCCTGAAACTTTCCTAATAAATTACAGAAGTGACATAAAATTTCCTTCATCTGATTACATTTATTTCATTTACAACCTAACATAATTTCCGTATCTTTTATCCATTTACAGCACACAAAGAAAAAGGGGTTTGGGTTTCAGAATTAGGAAACAAAGTGAAACCAACACTCTATGTAGAGTCAATTATTTATTTTGCTGTAAGCCAAATAAATCAACAAACAAAAAAAATCCCATGATAAGATACTTAGGATAAGATAGTTGTTCCGGAATTCATTGAACAATTCAAATTTTTTTGAACTTTAAGAAAAATAGTTTTATATAGTGTCAAATTTTGATAAAGTAAATTTCATAACAAATTTAGAAATCAAAATTCAAGATTTATCTATTCGTTTATTTTGATAATAGATAACTAAATCTTGAGGGGCAGTTGTATACATTTAACAATAAATAAAATAATTAAATGGATTCGATTGATTTTAAATAAAAAATTCATTTATTTTGATTAAAAATGCCTATGTCTACTAAAAGCCCATCCCGCATTAAAAGTCCATCCTACCTTTTGAACTCATTAAATAAACTTAAAAAAATAAATTGGAATCGTTACAAGAAATTTCCATAAATAAGTCCCCAAAAAAAACTTCTGAACAAATGAATTTTAAATCCAAGCCTTGAAATCTAGGAAACAAGGCAAGTAACTCTTTGACTTCAACACCCTGATCATTAGTGAGAGGAATGTGCAGCAAGGCATGGAGTAATGAAAGGATCAACTTATCTTGTATTTCACAAAAAATAAAATAAAATAAATAAAAAATGTAACAACTTCAAAAATACATGAAATTTGTTGTACACGCACACTTGGAGGATACTAGTATATCCTAGCTAGCCGTACACTGTATAGCGTCATATATGATTCATCAATGTAATGAGAGAGGAAGATGTGGTGTTTTAGTGTCTTGAATGGGGGAAGTTTGTGTTGAGAATTTACTTAATCATGCACATCGGAAATAAAACAATTTTCAATTCCCACCAAGGATCTGTAATGTGTTTAGATAGAAATTGTGATAAGAATTATACTTTTGATGAATTCCGCAAACTCCTTTGCTGACTCTCGCACTCCAATGATCACGATCTGCAATCTAAATTGTCCAATTGCCAGTCTCCATTGGTGATCCACACAGAGAACAAGAATGACAGCTATAATTTCTTTTCTTATACTAGCAAGAATAATGAAAATTCCATACGTTTTACAAACCCTAACAGCCTATTAATATAGGCCCAAATGGGCTGGCCTATCTCTAAACTTAACCCAGTCCGATATTTAATTAATCAAATTAATTAAATCCGATCCATGAATTAATTAATCCAATTAATTAATTCGGGCATATTAATAAGCAATCCAATTAATTAATTATTCAACAATTGTCAATTAATTAATTGGTAAATCTCATACTTCTGGTTCTTTTTTGTGTGTGACCCATTAGGCTCCCGATTACGATATGTAACGAAATTATTATTTTGATCTAATCAAAATCGATAAATTAAAACACCCCTTCTAATGTATCACTAATTCACATTCGTCATCCCAGATTGACATCTAGCATTGTGTCAAGGCAATATATGTGATGAGAAATGTCACGTGATGTGACAAACCAAACTTATTCGTTTACCTTGAAATTATAATCATTTCGTCAATATGATCCGATCAATGATGAGAAATGGATATGTGTCAGTCTTAATTATTGATCATATCTTTTATCCCATTGTTAAGTTAATGTAAGTTGAAAACTCCTTTTCAACTTATGAGTTTACCTTGGCCAATGATTTCATTTTCAACTTAACTGAATAAA